CTACATGTGAAAGTGGGTGCCTCATATGTCCATTTATTAGTTTGCAAATTTAAGATTTTGTCTAGATTTTAGCTGAAATTGTTACTTGACAAATGCATGTTTAGAACATCTTAATATTGTTTTCTTTCATCCCCTGGAAGTGGGATATCCTCAAGGCTTACTTTTTTTTTTTGCCTTTCTACCTGGATATTCTTATCTCACCTCAAAATAATTCAGTGTGTTTCAAGTCAGGATAGATGCTTATCTTTAAGCTTCCTAATGTTTTCTGTGTCCAGACATGAATTAGTCATTCAAGATATGCCACAAAAAATTTCCTGTACCTATTGAATCATCTCATTAACTTCTTCCTCAAAATGTCCTTTGTTTTAATGATTCCAGTGGCTGTTATCCTAATTATTCTCACATAATCAGATCACCAGGGGGTTTGGTTAATTCTTTTAACATTTATTAAGTGCCATGCATTGTGCTAGTATAGGGGTGTTTAAGAATGAATAATGTAGTCACTGGCCTAGAGAATTTAAAGGTCTAATGAAGAAGTCAAATAACTAAAGAGGCAATCCACATATAGTTTGGTGAATACTAAGATGATAACAAAGCACAGCCTCCTTGGAACCATAAAGGGGAAGCATCAGCCATTTAGGTCCCCGTTGACTCTAGTCTTATCAGCATGCCAATACATTCCACATTCAGCTTATCTTACTTAGGCACTGCTTCCTTCATGCCACTTCTGTGTTCAAAACCATAATTGCTCCTTAATCCATCTCCCTTTAGTTTGTCCTTTCTCCCTGTTACTTTTCTAGCTTTGTTTCATGCTACCCTGAAATTAACTTTCTTTTCAGTTCTTGTCTCACCCCAGAAACAAGCTATATTCCTTTCTAATATGATCATCTGTGAAGGCTTTTCATTTCACCCTCCCCATCCACTTATCCAAGTCCTGACCATTTTTTAAGGATTGTCTTAGTTCCTACCATAGCCTCAATGATATGTTAACCATCAAATTTTCCTGTCCATATAAACACTGAGTTTATAGCATAACACTGCCTTACATTGTTAATGTTATTTTTATCTTTCTAAAGAGATCTTAAACTCCTCAGAACAGGCATCTCCTTGTGTGATGGTTTTGGGTCCTTCAAATAGCCCACTATAGTACTCTGCTCAAAAACTAATAGTTGAGTTTCAGTAGAATATAAGTAGGGCATCACTGTCCCACATTTAAAGTTGATAGGCAGAAGGTTATATTCCATTGATCTCTGGGAAAAGGATGTCTGAGTAAAACTTAGAGATACTTTTATTTTGTATAACAATGTAAAAAGTGAAAAAGGAACTGAATTTATCAAATTCATTTTTATTTTCCATCAGTTTGTTATAAATGCCTAATGTGCTGGAATGGAGGTAAGGCAAAACTCATTTGGCTAAAAAGACATTGGTTGAGATTATTGACTCTGTCATTTAATATGGAGTTCTGAAAAAAATCTCCAAGCATGAGTTATAACTTCCTCATTTGTAAAATGGGGTTAATATTATGCAAGATGTAATGAAGGTGAAATAATGTAGTGGTTATGGCATATTTTATAAGCTTTAAGTAATATATAGATTTTACATAGTTTTGTTGTATTCCCATCTTGGTTGTTAACTGCGTTTGCATTTTTTAAAAAGTATGTATTTCTGGGCTGGTGATGTAGCTCATTGTCATTGGTGAGGCCCTGAGTTCAATCCCCACAGTGTGGCAAAAAGAAAAAAAGTACATATTTCTATGTAGTACATTTTCTCAAATCACTATAATTAATGATCCCTTGATAGTAACTTCTCTGATATTTCCAGACCAGATTTACTTTAATGCTGCTAAAGATGAATAGATTTCTATTCTAACAAGTGGTAAGTTTATTTTGATGGAGGGACACCTAGCCCAGACCTTGAGGTCCCAGATCATGCTTCCTAGAGGAAGTGACATTGACACCTAAGTTCAGACTGGAAGAATGAATAAAATTAGCCAAGGGACCATATGAGGAAGGGGATAAGAAATGTTGAGTGAGTGAGAGAGTGAGAGAGAGAGACACACACACTACATTGTACTTAGATCTGCCAAAGAGGGAGAAATATGGTGATTATTGTCTCTTTCCGTTTTATCCCTTTCATAGAAGTGACCTACTAGCATCCCTTTATAATAATAACTGAATAGAATTTATTTGCTGGGCATGAAAATCCCCCACCCCCGCCAATTAGCATAGATATATTTTCTTATCAGAGCCAAAACAATTCTTTTTTCCTTAGACATTACTTCATTTTTATTAATAAGTGTTCTCTTCAGCTTGCATTTAGTCTATAACCACTGGCTGCCTCTTCATGTCTTTTTTTTTTTTTTTGTAAATTAAGAGAACTGGAAAATTGTTTTTGGAGTGATTTTTGTTTGCTTTGTCTATAAAAACATTTACTTTAGCACAGTTACCAATGTTTGAAATGGGCTCATAGGTGATATGGAGACAAATACCTCATTTCTGCTTAGTTTTGGAAGAATGGAGAGGAAACTGGGAAAATACTAAGATGGGGAGTTCTGTAATAGGATACCCAGAATGGCACCTGGCACAAAGTAGACTCTTATCTAGATAGATGAATGCACTGCATTTAGGGAAAGCTGAACACAGTAGAGAAGGGAAAATGACAAAAGTAAATGAATAGCTGCAGAGCTATAAGCTGATGAATTGAAACTAAGCCTGTAAGAAGGAAACAGAGGCATCCACAAGGAGGCAGGAGCCTGGACGTGAAACCTTTCCCAAACTACAATTTACTAACTGAACTGAGGCTTTGATATTTTACCATTCTATAATCATATGTCAGAACTTGGTAAAAACTTCAGTAAACTTCATTTGGTTTAGTAACAAAATTAAAAATTATTGTTATATATCTCTTGTAAACCATATAGAAACCTGAGGGATAGTTTACAGAGAGGGATATCTCAGGCTGTGTAAGACCTATATGCAGGTACTGAGCTCATGGAAGAAAAGAACAAGTAATTTCAGTGTTTGGCTCAAGGCTTGTAAAAGTGCTGTTCAGAAACTTGTGGGGAGAATCTACTTTCAGCACCTCCCTTGTCATAGCAGTATTTTTCTATAGTAATTGAAGAAGGTAAATGTAAAGAAGGATCGTTACCACCACCACCACCACCCCGCCTTGCTGGGGATTGAATCCGGGCCTTGCACATGCTAGACAGGTGTTCCACCTGGGCTGTATTCCCAGCCCATCACCAGAGTTTTACATGCCAGTGAATATATCTGGTGTTGTAAATATGTATTTATTTTTTTAAAGTAACTTTTCCCCTCAGGTTTTCTACAAGATTTATGTTTTGCTAACAGTACAACTTCTTGAGATTGTAACTTTTAAGGTTGTCAGAAAATTTCTACGTATTATAGAGCTCTACTAGCCAGAAGAGGAAAAGTGAAAAGAGATGTTGAATCAGTGTTTAGGAGCTTATTGGGATGTAAAAGAAATGGTTGAGCTAAAAACTTCAATGCTACCAATGATCTTAATATTTGCATACCTAACTTCCCTGTATTAGAAATATTTTTTAAAATATTTATTTTTTAGCTGTAGTTGGACATGATACCTTTATTTCACTTATTTATTTTCATGTGGTGCTGAGGATCAAACTGAGAGTCTCGCGTGTGCGAGGCAAGCGCTCTACCGCTAAGCCACAACCCTAGCCCCTTATTAGAAATATTTTATAATGCCTCTTGTTCGCTCTTGAAATTAAGTTCACAGGTATATAACCTGCTTACATACATAATTCCAAAATAGTATAATGCCTCATCTACTTACAATATAAAAAGAGAAAAGAAAGATATAATTTATAATGTTGCGATACGTAAATGCTTTGGTCTAACTGCAATAGGAGATAATATGGATGCAAGAGCCGCAATGTAGACTGATTATGGATATGTGGTATTGACTGATACAAATGCCACTGAACTGGTGATCTGATTTTTCCATAGTGATAAAAAGCACATCTTTCTTTTTTTGTCAGGAGAAGCACAATACTGAAAAATTCAGTTTTCTTTTAAACTACGCAAAGATGCTTTTTATCTGTTTCTAAAACCATTTCCTCCCTTTCTTGTACACTTCTAAAAACTGGTTGGGGGCGATAATGCCTCCCTTCCCACTTTGAGAACTCCTGCTGTATATTAAGATAGCAGTGCTGTCCAATCAGGGAAGTATTTTTAAAACATTAGTAGTTCTGGGTTTGTTTTGAGCTGTACATTTTTTCTCAACATGTCCTTTGGAACCAATCATCAATTTGTGAGCTAATTGATAGAAGTCCTCTTATTATGAAATAGAGTTTTAGTTGTGGGGAAGTAAATAAAGAGTTCTTTGTATCTAAACCAAAAAATACTGGTGAATATGTTTAAGAAATATTACAGTGGTTCTTAAAATATTTTAATCTTACAAGACAGTTGGCTGGTTAAGCAAAATAGTAACAATGTACTATGTTGTTTCTGTCCAATTTGAAAGTAAAGTATGTTATACCAGTAGCGGAAAGAACAGGAAATGGAAGTACACTTGCAAGGCTCTTAAAACAAGTGCAAAATACCACTTTAAGATTATGATAAATTGATGAATTGGAAATTCTAAAATGGCCACTAGAAAACCAATAAAATGGGACCCCAAGCCATATATGCTGAAGGTGTCCTGTATTCCTTTATGGGCAAAGGACTGGGGCCTTTTTTAGAAGAACCCAACTCTGCTTGTATTGGAGATCTTAGCCAGTATGCAGAATATCTCCCACTTTCCACACTACTCTTCTGTTTTATAGTTCCCATGGTCACTTAGCACCTCTCAGTCCCTTTTCTTTAGTGAAAAAGGGTCAATGCTTTGACTTTGTCACTGATTTCTGTACTTGCCAGCCCAACTTGTTGCATGATAAAGTGGAATGAATTAATCTTTGATGTTTATATTTCTCTGTGATATCTCAACATACTTCATACCTTTTTCTCTTCCCCTGAATTCAGAGACATGAAAAATGCTGTAATTGGAAACAACAAGCAGAAAGCCAACCTCATTGTTTTAGGAGCTGTTCCAAGGTATGTTGGCTGTCTGTGCCCTTTCTGCCATTCATGCTGAATACATTCTTAATGTATTTCTTACTCTTAGGGAAAAGACCCCTTTTTTCTGTATTGTCTATTTTTTTAAAAATGAATGCCTTGACATATGTAAACCATCTCTAAGAACCATCTCCAGAGAATGGAATAAGAAGTTAATATATTAATACTCTTTGGAAATTCAGAAAGATCATTAACCTTGCAGTGTAAGAATTTGTTGGATGGATCCATAGGACTGTATACCTGCCTGATAATTTCTTTTCCATCTCCTTAGAGTCCTCAAAGTTTTTGTGTGAGTAGATAATTTATTAGAATTTTCAAGACATTTTTGAATTTAAACAAAGGGGGAAAAAACTCTGCTTGGTTTTTTTTAATTAATTTTTTTTGTTGGTGCATTATGTATAATATACATGCACATAACATTAATTTGATCAGTCTCATTCCCCAGTACCTTCCCTTTCCTTCCTCTCCAGCCTTATTCCAGCTTGCCCCACTCTGCTAATCTCCTTCTATTATTGTTGTTTCAATTAGCACATTATTATAGTATATATAAATGGAATTCATTGTGGTATATTCATATATGGCATAGCATTATTTAATAGATTTTGTTCCTCAGTACTTCCCCACACCCTCTTCTCCTCCCTTCTTCTCTAGCCTCTTCCTCTACATTGTTGGTCTCCCTTTTATTTTCTTGAGATCTCCCTTTTTTTTTTTATTATGGAACTCCCCCCATCTTCCACATATGAGAGAAAACATTCAACCTTTGACATTCTGATCTGGCTTATTCTACTTAGCATGGTGTTCCACAGTTCCCATCTATCCATTTACCAGTAAATGACATAATTTCATTCTCATGACTGAGTAAAACTCCATTGTGTGTACATACTACATTTTCTTTGTCTATTAGTCTTATTGATGAACACCTAGGCTGTTTTCATAACTTGGTTATTGTGAATTGTGCTGCTATAAACATTGGTATGCATGTATCCCTATAGTAAACTGATTTTAGTACTTTTGGATAAATATCAAGGAGTGAGATAGCCAAGTCATATGGTGGTTCCATTCCTAGTCTTTTGATTATATTGATTTACAGTCCCATCAATAACATATAAGTGTACCATTTTCAATTCTTATCCTTGCCAGCATTTATTATTATTTTTTATTCTAACTGGAGTGAGATAAAATCTCAGTGAAGTTTTGATATGCATTTTCCTGATTGCTAAAGAGGTTGAACATTTTTTTTCATACATTTGTTAGCCATTTATATTTCTTCTTTTGAGAAATGTCCATTTATTCATTTGCCGATTTATTGATTGAGTTATTGGATTTTTTTTCCTTTTGGAGTTTTTTTTTTTTTTAGTTCTTTATATATTGGATATTAATTATCTGTTGGAAGAGTAGCTGGCAAAGATTTTCTTTCATTTTATAGGTTCTCCCTTCTTAATTGTTTCTTTTGCTCTGCAGAAGCTTTTTAACTTGATGCCACACACTTATTCTTGGTATTATTTCTTGAGCTTTAGTATCTTATTGAGGAAGTTGATGCCTGTGCCATTATATCATAGTGTTGACCCTGTTTTCTTCTAGCAGTTTCAGACCAGAGTCTAATTCCTAAGTCTTTGATCCCTGAGTTGACTTTTGTACAGGGTGAAAGATAGAGATCCAGTTTCATTCTTCTACATAAGAATATCCAGTTTTCCCAGCACCATTTATTTAAAAGGCTGTCTTTTCTGTAACATGTTTTTGGCAGCTTTGTCAAGAATCAGATGACTCTATCTATGTAGAATTGTCTCTGTGTGATTTTTAATCCTGCTTTAAAAAAAAATCTGATTTTGAGACTTTGTTGTTTCTTGAGTTATCATAGGAAGTTAGATTTTTCTGACGACCTAGATGTTTCTTTTAGGCAGGCAGTGACATTTATATAACTTTCTTTATGCTTTTGCTACTTAGAACCAAGGTGTTTTTTTTTTCCTCAAAAATTGTTATACATTTTGAAAAATATTTTTATTTTTTAATACAGGACTAATGGTTTTAATGTGTTTGACCTCACTGACCAGCAGCCATTCATAGGGTTTGTGTGCAGTATATCTAAATAGTGCTTTAGAGAGCATGAAATTAGAATGTAAAAGAGAAGATCCTAAGTGGTAGAGCATTAGAGTTTGGGGATTAGCTGTTTGGCGAGCTGGGCTAGAGTGGAATTTGGAGGATTTCCTCAGTCCCCACATGGGAGAACTGAAGAGAAGAAAGCTTTCCTTGTTTGAAAAACTGCACAAAGATTATTCCCTGTATGCTAGACCTGTGCCATCTCAACACTATAGCTCTGGATTTCTGGTTTGAGTTTGTGATCCAGCATGTTTTGAAAAGACTAACCAGGGAATAGCAGATAACATGGACTATCACACTTGTTCTGCAGATACCATTGTACACAACTCTCAGATTTACAGTTTGATAAACTCTGAGATCCTATGATAGTCCTGTTGTTCAAAATGAAGAAAATCTCTTTTTTTTAGATGTTTCTTTGTTGAAGTAGCAGATAATATAAATAAATATTACCTAGAGAAATTCAAATAAGCCAAATCAACTCTAATTTTATTATGTAGAATGTATTTATCACATTCCTTTGTCACAATATTTTAATTTACTTTTGTTCTTTTAGTCTCTTTGTTTATCAAGTGCCTTCTTTTTAGATTGTTGTATTTGCTTCAGCAAGAAACGTCAAGCACAGAGCTGAAAACGGAATGTGCAGTGGTATTGGGAAGTCTTGCTATGGGTACTGAAAACAATGTCAAGTCTCTGCTGGACTGCCATATTATCCCTGCCTTACTACAAGGTATGCAGGGAGGACATTTCACACAAGAAAAGATTAGAATGAGTTTGCAGTGTTTTAAGTACTGGTTGAGAAGATGAATCTCACATGTAGTTTCTGTTAATAGGACTACTGTCCCCAGACCTGAAGTTCATTGAAGCTTGTCTCCGATGCCTACGTACCATCTTCACCAGTCCTGTCACTCCAGAGGAGCTACTGTATACAGTGAGTTTGGGATGTTTTGGGGTCATTGGTTATATTTCACTAAAGGCTATTTGCTTCTCACTTCAGACTCATAGCTGTGATATACAAAAAGTCTCAAGAAGTATTTGAGTTCCTGATTATTTTCAAATATTAAATGTTCTAGGCTTTGTTTAAAAATGAACAATGGTAGAGCATTTGCCTATAATAAGCAAGGCTTTAGGTTCAATCCCCAGCACCACAAAACAGACAAACAAGAAGATAGCCTCAGATCCTAGAGGAATTTGCAAACTGTTAAAAATAAAAAAGATCAATTTTTATCTCTTTGTATATTAAGGGAATATATTTTATGCTAAATGAGTGATAGGGAGTTCTTCTCACTTTACGTTCTAGTTCAGGAAAGTAGGCTTTGTAGAGTAGCTATAATTTGTCCTGGGTCTTGAATAATAGATAATTTAGAAAATTGGAGAGGAAGGAGGCCATTCTGGGAAGGATCTCTGTGAAGCAGTTGCAGTATGTTGGGCAGAACAGTTTGATGTGTAGAGGGCATTGCTGTTAGTCTCAGCTGGAGAGAGAGACCAGAACCAGCTTGCAGGAGGCTTAGCTGACAGACCAGAATCAGAGCATACCCATAAGAGAATCCAAAGATGTTTGGAGTCAGTCAGTGGTTTTTCAGAAGCCTCAGGGATTTATCAAGGGTTCTTTTTAATCTATTGGTGGGACTTTCTTAATGAAAATTACCTAGCAGTGTTGTTGAAGCACTATCTACAATCTATAGTAAAAATATATTTTTCACTGCCTCAGTATACACATGTATAACTTGTGTGTGGAATTCTGAGACAACTATCACAACACAGTTCCACAAATTTGATGTCCTCTGGTTTCTCTTTTGTTGTTTCTCATTAAAAACAAATAATGCCATTTGTGGTTCTCAGAGTTCACAAAGAATCACTTGTTTGATCAGATACACAGAAATCAGAAATCTTATCCATATTCAAGATTTATAAGTATTTCAAGAATATAAACAAACAAGAGGCACAGGGAAAACAAGCATGGAAAGAGATGGTACAGGGCTTCATACTCCATCCTACATCAGATAGATACGTACTCTTCTGTCCTCGATGATACATAAGGTCTCCAAGTGAGCTTTGTGGGTCACTTCACAAAGTAAGAAGTGTATAAGTTATGAAACATCTCAGTTTTATACCTTAGGGTTTATGTGACATTCTTGAGAGACTTATGCCTCATAAGTCTAGATTGTTTACTATAGTAGTTCTCAAACATGAGCGAGTTCCAGAATTACCTAGAGGATTTGTTAAACAGATTCTGGACCCCACCTCCAGAGTTTCTGAATAATAAGATGGGTAGGGCCTGAGGGTTTGCCTTGCCTACAAGTTTCCAGGTAATTCAAATGCTGCTGCTTTTTGGACTGCTCTTTGTAGTAAGTGTCACAGTGTTTTGCTGGGTGTCAAATTGTCATGTTTACAAAGAGATTAAACCAATGACCTGTCTTCTCTACCCTAGAAATTTCTCACCCACCCCAGCCCTGGGGAAAGAGGGGGAGAAATTAATCCTAGCCAACTGTTTTGACTCCTTCCTCACTCTCTGAACTGATTTATGTCCCACTAATGGATCATGGTGCAGTTTGGAAAATTCTCGTCTAGGTCAACTTAACTTTTTTACATGACAACAGTTAAGATACAGGTAGGTTAAATTTAGACAGTGAGATCATGGAAATTATGAAACATTTCAGTTTTATGCCTCAAAAGATTTTATACTTCAGAGTCAGTGGGGAATCTGTAAAAAGTGTCGGATGAGGGGAAGCAACAGAGAGCAGTACTTGAGTGTAGGTAGACCCAGCTGCTGCAGCAGCTCAAGTACTAAATAGGACTGTCTAGTCAGAAGAGGGCAGGATTTCTAGTTTGAAATCCTGTTTATCGATGTTCCTGCTTCCCTCTGTCCTGCCAGTGGAACTATTGTTTCCCCTTGCTCTATTTGAAACTCCATTTTCTCTCTTCCTTTTCTTTCTCTGCATTTAGTACCTAACGGTCTCTGAGGTTTTCAGGTTTTGTGTTTTGTTTTTAAATTGCTGTTGACAACACAGAGATTATACTAACAAGCAGGGGAAAATATTCCATTTTAGGGAATGAACAGCCTGCTATTTTTCTTAGCTTTTATGTGTCTTGGCATTTTTTTCTTCAATGCCCTCTGTGTGAGGGTCTTCAAAATGTGGTCTGTTGATCAGCCTCTTTTGGGAGCTAGTTAAAATGCAAACTCTTAGATCCCAGTCCAAATCAGAATTTGAACGTGAAGAACAATCCCTGGGAATTTGCAGGCACATTTGTACTTGAGAAGCATAGCTTGAGGACTTGTGACAACATTGGCTAGGAGACTTGAGCTAAGTCCATCTGTGTTTAAGGCCAAATTCTCTTTCAGTTTGTAATTCCTTTTGTATTAAAAATAAATAGTTACTTGAAGAACCTGCAGCGGGGTTGTTTGATTTTTCTCTTTACCTGTGTCACCATGTAAATGTTAGTGAAGGTGATAGGCAGTAGGTTTTATGTTGAAAAATTGCTAATCATATAAATTGTCTTGTACAGATTGCAAATAGCCAACTACAGTCTTATGCGAGATTGTAGTTGTTACTGATGCTTACCATATATCTCAGAGATCAAAATGGTCAAATTTTATTTTATAATTCTTTCAAAATACTTCTTTATACTCTATATCTCATTAATCACCTCACATTTTGATTCCAGAAATGATTAGTCTTATTGTAATGATATTATTTTATTATTAGCATATAGGTGTTTGTGAGAGAGCTGTTAAGAGGTTCCTGTCCTCATATGTATATAGTTTTCAAGGATGGATATTGAAGTCCCTTTCCTTGTCCTTGACCTCAGCTGTTTTGATGGCCATGTTGTTTTTGTTTTGCTCTGTTCCTTCAAAAGAAACATGAATTATTGCCATTAGGATAAGAGGCTTAAACTATGTACCTGCTCATGTAAGTACTTTGTCAAATGTGTATACAGTGCCTAAGTTCCTTGTTGCTGTGCTCTCATTCCCATCCACTCCAGGATGCCACAGTGATACCACACCTCATGGCGCTGCTGAGCAGGTCCCGCTACACCCAGGAGTATATCTGTCAGATCTTCTCACACTGCTGTAAAGTAAGAACCAGAATAAGTACTTTCTGTTATGTCAAATCTTACATGCCCTTAAGAGATGTGCCTTATTTGTATGTCCTCTCAGGATTTTATGTGTATATTTTATCCTTTTTTTTTTTTTTTTTTTTTTTAAACACAAAAGGCAGCATGTAGTGTATACTGCTTTGCATCTGGCGTTTTTCACTTAACATATCTTGAAGGCTGTTCTGCCGCAGTCTGGCTGGGCACAATCAGGAGCCACTTGTCAAAAGAAACTAACTTTATTTTTAGAACCACACACGCCAAACAAAATAGCCTCTCAGGAAAAACCCTCAGAGCCTCAACTGCCACCACCGGCTTTCCACAAGCCTCTCTCTCCCCCACAAGCTTCTCCCCACCTCCCACAATCCTCCTGCTCTTGAGGCCGATTGGCTGGGTCACGTGGGCGGAGCCAAAAAAGTCCCCCAATGAGCAGTTCCGTGGTCTGAAAGGGCAGGGAAACAGCCCAATGAGCATCACTGCAGAGGAGCCAATCAGCTAGATGTTGCTGGGGCCGCTGTGAGCCAATCATCAGCCAGCAGCTGGAAGTTTGCTGGCAGCTGGAAGTTTGCTGGGGCCCCTTTGGCTGTGGCTCTCAACACTGTTCCATATCAGTACATGAGGAATTTCTCTGTTCCTTAAAAAAAAAAAAAAAAAAAAGGCTGCATAGCATTTTACTATGTAAATGTACAATAATTGATTTAATTAGTCATCTGTTTTTAAGCATTTAGTTTGTTTCCAGTCTTAAGCACAAAGCAATGTTCCAACAAGTATTTTGGGTAGAAGACATTTTATAAGAAATGGAATCGCATCAAAGAATATGTACAAATTGTAATTTTGCCCATAAGGTCCTGTCTGGAGGTTGTACTGGTATTACTACCAGCAGCATGAGATCATGTCTGTTTCCTTACAACCTTAGTTTCCCATGTTGTTAGAAACGGTTTTTAGTGATCTCTTATAAGAAATAAGAATGATTCTTGTCTGCTCATGGTTAAGTGTGCTCTCTCTCCCCCGTCCCTTTTTATAGTCATATTCAAGTAGGTATTTATGCAAGTATCCTGAGGTAAATAAGTATAACAGAGATAATTTCGCATAATTAGAAGAGCTTGTACATTGTAGCCATTAACACCCAGTTTTAAATTCCAGTTCTGGTTTGTGATGACTGAGGGACAATGAGTATGTTATTTGACATCGCTGAGCATTAGTTTCCTCATCATAGATTTTAGCAACCTTAGCGTATGATCGTTGTCTTTCCGTGTTAAGTGGAGAATTTTTACCTGAACTTAAAAAAGAAAAAAACACTTTATGGCTTCTCTTTGGCATATCTGAATTACCATCCTCCTTATTCTTGCCAGATAAGAAATGAATAGGGTGGGATATGAGAGAAAGAGCTCAGAGCTTTCATACCCTCTTCAGATACATCACCCTGTAGGATCCTCCATATGTCCCATCTCCAGAAGCTCCAATTTCTCTGTGTAGCTTCCAAACCGAAATAGCTGGGTACTATGAAGTGCTACTTATTTTCCTTCATAGATTATATTTTGAGTGTACTCGTTTTGGTAGCCATGGGTGATGATTTGAGAGTTTTCTTAATTTTAAGCAGTTTCTAATTCTCACCAAATAATTGGTTATCTTCTGAGGGAGGATTCTGTGTTTCAGGATAGCATTACCTGCCTTCCTATCATTTGTAATATAGATACCAATGAGGTAAGAAGGACTAAGAGAAATGAACACCTACATTGCAAAGTGGAAAGATCACAAATCTTTGCTGTTTTAGAACATCTCCCCCAAATAAATGAAAATTAGATCATTTGGTCCCAGAAAAAATACCTACATTAAAATCTAATCATTTAAACTTCTTCCCAAACCCTAGCTGATTATCACAGTCTCTTTACTTCTGTTTAAGGTACTTTGAAATTAAGATTTTTGTCAAAAATTTTTGAGGTTTTGCTTCTTGATTCCTTTGACAATGTGTAAGTTAGCTCATAGAACCAGGGATATCAAACAGTGCCTCTTTTTGTTTGTTTTGTACCAGGAATTGAACCCCATCCCCAGCCCAGTACCCCCACCCCCCTTTTTTTAATTTTTTTTTATTGGTTGTTCAAAACATTACAAAGCTCATGACATATCATCTTTCATACATTTGATTCAAGTGGGTTATGAACTCCCATTTTTACCCCAAATACAAATTGCAGAATCACATCGGTTACACATTCACATTTTTACATAATGCCATATTAGTGACTGTTGTATTGGTGCTGAGGATCGAACCCAGGTCTCTCATGTGCGAGGCAAGCGCTCTACCACTGAGCCACAACCCCAGCCCCCCCAGCCCTTTTTTTATGTTTTGTTTTGAGATAGGATCTCCTTAAGTCCTTAGGCCTTGCTAAGTTGCTGAGGTTGGTCTCAAACTTGCAATTCTCCTACCTCCTGAGTCACTAGGATTACAGGTATGTGCACTCCCATGCCTGGCTACCTTCATCATTTGAGGTAGGCAAAGGAATGCTCTAAGAAAATGAAGTTTTGTTACAATTCATTTGCTAAAAATGAATTCAAACCAACAAGATATAGAATTTTCCAACAATAAAATAAAGTCTTGCCTTCCATGGCAGGTGAGTAGAGGATGATATTCTAGAATTCAGAGCCTTATTACCAACCTTTCAGCATCTATTCCTACTCAAGAGAGCATGGTATCTATTAGTCATAACTACAGTGATTCCAGAGGGTACTGAAATTTGAACCTGGAAAAATAACTACATATTATTTTGTTAAATTATAAGAAGTTTGAATAATGCCATTCCTGAAATTAAAACTCAGTTAGCCTTCAGGACTACTCATAGAGATTTCTCAAAACTTTTGGATTTGCTCATCTGAAATTTCCCAGCGCCATCTTAGCTGGAATCATAGATAAAGGAGTACCATTAAATCACTATACCTTTTATTAGACAGAAACTTCTCTTGAGGATAATAATTTACAGCCACCCTGATGCCACTGATAGAACAGAAGATGTTATCAGAGAGATTCACCTTTAGTAAGCTTTTTTTTTAACCTGATAGTTATCATTTTCTACTGTAATTAAATTACCAAATTTAAGTATTCTGAGATATAACTAGACTTAAAGAAACATTGCCCTATTTATAAACCCAGCAAGAATAGTAATTGTTAAAATACAATATTAACTTTCTCCCTAATACACTAACAATATATCTTTGAAAACAACTTATTTGATGGTCTATGTGTTATCATTAATTTCACAAACCTTATTTTCATTTTTTTTTTTTTTTTGGTACCTAGATGCAAAATAACAAAATTTGTAATAAATACTTTCAAAGGGGCCTAGTTAGATACAAGTAAATGGGATAAGACATTACTAATTTTCACAGACTGGTATTGTATCAATTGGTACAGTTGGAGGGGAGACAGAAAAAGGGAGACTATGAAAACTTTTATGTATATAAACTCATTATAATTGTATCTTTGGAATTCTTTCCATGATTTATTAAGGATCAAAAAAGGCTAGAAATATTTGTTAGAATTGTAACTTATAAATTGTTGCTACTTCCTTAACAACAGATTTGCTCAGATTTCTAAGTCCTATTTTTTGGAGTTTAAAACTGCAGGGGCTTATTAATATCCAACCAGGTGAATGCTGCCTTGTTAACCACCTCCTGTCTGCAGAGAGACTTGATAAGAACCAAAGAATAGCTACTCCTCTCCAGTTGTTTCTGCCACTGATTCCTTCCTTGTGATCATTTTTACCCAATCTTATACATAGTCTTGGAGAGGAGGAAGACCTTTGATGATACACAGTTGTTGCCATAATTGAGGCAAAGTATTTGAGGGATTAAAAAGTAAGGTATCTTAGCAGAGGGAATAATTATGAAGAGTGAGAATTGTAAATGCTTGATCTTTTCACTGTCATTTGTAAATACAACTCTTTCAGCAAGGATATTTCAGAATTATTTAGATCTTAGAAAAAAGATACATGCACATGGGTATACTTTGAAGTGATATTGTAATAGTGAAAGACTGATATTCTAAATGTCCAACTAAGGGGTACTAGTTGAATAAAGTATGAGACTTTTATGCGATGAATAAAATGAGAAAACTGATGTGAGTGATCTCTGAGATATTTAGTAAAGGAAATAAAAGGTTTAGAGTAGTACATATAGTCTTCAACCATTTGTGTTAAAATGGGAGAAAGAATATACTTGTATATTTATAAAATGTCTAGAAGAATATAAAATAATATAATTAGGTCATTGCAAAGCACAGGAACCAGTTGGCTACATTGACCAATGAAGGACAAAAGGTCAAGGAAGCACCCTGTCTATACTTAGCCATTCTGATAAGCTCTGCCAGTGTTTAAACTGAGACCAATAGAACTTGACCATGCTGACATGTAAGCTGGGGCTAATTTAGATTCACCTTCATAATTGATTCTAGTTCCTAGATAAGAAAAAAAAATGGGTCATATTCTTAGGAGAGTTTCATCATTATTTTTATATGAAATAAGCCAGAGACCCTTTTATTTCAATCCAGAGAGTGCTAGTAAAGCATTTAGAGCATTGTCCAGTCCACTGCACATACCCCTTAAGTAGGACCTATAATAACTCCTTGAGGTGGGAGGAAAGGGAGCTCACTTAAAATCTATGCCCTGAGAATGGGATTTGCATGTGTAAACTATGAAATACTCTGTAATAATTTAAAATAAGAAATTAAGGGCTGGGGATATATCTCAGTTGGTAGAGTTCTTGCCTCACATGCACAAGGCCCTGGCTTTAATTCCCAGCACCACAAAAAAAAAAAAAAAAGAAAAGAAAAGAAAGAAATTAGAAAATGAATAGAAATTAAGAGAGATTGTTGAAGTTTCTTTTTTTTTTAAGGACCTTTTTAATAATGTATGAAATGTTTAGGGTATTGTTACCGTGGCACTTGTGTTATTTAGAAGTATGACTATTAATCCCACTTCAAATGATGTATGTTTTGACCTAAGAAAGAGTGAATTGACTACAAGATAGTTTTTAGTTGGCTAAATAACGGATTAGAGAAACTATTTCTAGAGTTTTTATTCTAGATCAATAACTGACTGTTGAACCTAGATAGATTTCCTACCTTTGGTGGTATGTTCTTCTCTTCTGAATAAGAATAAACATGCAGTACTATACCTGCCTTGGCTTTAATTGACTTTTAATTAATTGGTTGGAAGAGATTGGACTTAAATGATTGAATAAGAGTCATAGCAAAATTAAAGCTTTGTATTAACCTTTAGCTTCTTCCCCTTTGAAGATCTTCAGTACATTGTTTAATAGAAAACAAAGTGATGAAGCCAGGCGCCTGGCACAAGCCTGTATGTAATCCCAGCAGCTCAGGAGGCTGAGACAGGAGGATCGCAAGTTCAAAGCCAACCTCAGCAAAAGCAAGGCACTAAGCAACTCAATGAGACTCTGTCTCTAAATAAAATACAAAATAGGGCTGAGGATGTGGCTCAGTGGTTGACTCCCCCTGAGTTCAATCCTCGGTACTCTCCTACCCACCAAAAAAAAAAAAAAAAAGAAAACAGTGAATGAAAAACAAAATACCACTTTTTTCCTCTCTTCACCTTCCTACTCTAAGAAGTAATCATTTTCAAAAAAGAAATGAGAAACAGAAACCAAAACATGTTCACTTCTTAATTATGGAGTATTGTGTTTTTTCTCATTATAGCATTGCTGAAACCTCCCTGATGTATTATCGTAGATTAGGTTCTTGGAATTAGTTTTAGAGTTTCCCCTGAGTAGCTCTTCAGCCCTAAGTTGTAAGAATGGCCATGCCCTTGTCTCTTGTGGGCATAGGGTGAGGGTGTACACATGAAATATAGAATTCATAGTGGCTCTGTGGTGATATTGCTATGTAATCATTGTGAAGGTCCTCTGCTGGGACAGCTTCTCTGTCCCTTTCCTTATTTCTGGAAGTTAAGAGAGCAACAGTTCTCAAACTGGAATGAGGTAAGACGTGGCAGCCCCTTGCAGGAATAAAACCTGTCTGCCTTCCTTTTTGGGGTTGAGTTTACAAGCAGAGGGTAACTAAGAAATCTGTAGTATTGTGGATGTGGTTTTCAACATTTATTAAATGAGATTTTGTTGGAATGAATCACTACTCTTCTTAATTTATTATTATGTTCTCTGTTTTTACAGGGTCCAGATCATCAAACGATTTTATTTAACCATGGTGCAGTTCAGAATATTGCTCACCTACTAACCTCACTCTCCTACAAAGTAAGATGTTAAAAATTGTGACCGGATTTTTAACTTGTTTTTGGTTTATAGAAAGAGGTCCACATATTTTATTGTTTCTTTGATAGATGTTGTAATCAGGAGTAGTATTTTATCAGTAAAATGTTTTAGGGAATTATGTTACCTCTAGAATGTTCTTTCATTATAGGGGGAAAAAATGTTGCCCTTGCATCTCAATTTTTCCAGGCTATCGTTGTGCCATGAGTCACTGTTGATTTTTTGCCTGTTCAGTAGTATTTCAGGTCTTTCCTGGACAGCTTCCATGCTAAAGCTGCTCTTGAAATGCTGCTTTAAAATGTGTAGAAACAGTGGCTGGCTAGTTCAGGAAAGACTATGGAATTCACAGTTGAATAACTCAAACTTATAGCCTCTACTCACATATATCTCAATATGTGTAATGTGTTCTGTTTTGTATTTTGAGTTAAAAAGTCAAGAATTTTCAGACTTACTAATTAAATTTTCCTTACTATCTTTTGTATATAGCTAAGCAGTTTCATAGTATATTATCAAGCATTGAGTTAAAAGTTAGGGCATTTGTTGTTGGCCAGTTAGCAAACTGTGGCAAATATTAGGATATTGTTGGTATTGTGAGACATCAGAGCTGGGTATGGCAGAACAAGAAGCAGTCATTTTTGTCCTGTATCTATTTGTAGTGACTCTAGTCTGCTATTTTGGTTCTTAGCTGTATTTCAGGTAGGGCCTGCTAATGGGTATGTTTTCCCTACCCTAGACATCATCCAAGGTTTGGTCTTGGGGAAGAGCTCACAAGGATAGGAATGGGGAATGGAGTAGCTTGAAACTAGCCAGAGGCAGGAGAAGGAAATATCTACCGAAACTGCTTCCTCTGTCCTGTGCCACATGGAAGCTGAACTCAGTCAACACGAGCACATCAATAAAATGTTGTTTGGGTCGCTATTTATTGTCTCTTTGTTATCCTCTGGTTTCATTTATTCCCCAGCTCTTCCTCCATTTCTTGTCTTTTTTGCATTAGACTTGCCTATTATGTCAAATTTTAAAACTTACCAGTTGTGGAAGGGCAAAATGGTAACATTACTCTTTTGCTAAGGTTTGTTCCATTGTTAAGAGTGTCGTGACATCTTCTAGGGTCCACCTATGGGGACGTGCTAGTGGTGTAGAGCATGAAGGACATTTCTTCACACTCCACCTATGTGTCATGTGGGTGCCTTCCAACCTCATAAAAAGGTTATGTGTAGACTCAGATTCAGAAGTGAGGATGACATCTCCTCGTGAAAACTAAAGGAGACAGTGAAAATTAACAGCCCTCATAGGAACCCTTTCATATTGTAAAACGAGAGTGAGCTCTTGATATCAAACCCAGTAACCTGGTTTTGAGGAAGAATAGCACAATTCCTAGGTATTTTAAAGTGAAATTAGTCCTTCTCAAACTTCTATTGTAACGATCTTTCCTCTCCTTCTGTTCTCTTGGCCCCATTTTCATCCCATACACATTTATAAGAGTACTCTTTCTTTTTGTCTTCCCTTCAGTTCTCTGGTTTATAGTCAGAGAAGAAATGTCCCATGTGTTGGTTACATTCCCATTGTCTTAACCAACACTATACTTTGTACAATGTTCTTTTAGATTTGATTAGGAATCTGTCTTGTTCACTTTTAATTTCTGCTACTTCTTCCCTTTTTTTTTTTATTACTACAAAGTTAATTTTAACTTTTTATAACAAACTTGAACTTTTACTGTACTCTTCAGACAGGTGGTACTTTTATTCTCTGAAGGCTTCCTTTAGTACTTTAAGCAGAATTAAATGGTTATTTCTTCAGAGGTTCTGAGACATTCAAATAATATTTGAAAAATTAAAATAAATGCATTTTCTTGTCTGTTTAATTTTATAGGTTCGAATGCAAGCACTGAAATGCTTCTCAGTTTTAGCTTTTGAAAACCCCCAGGTATCGATGACCCTGGTAAATGGTAGGCTGGAAATTTCAGTGGCACCTACATGATTCAATTTGTCAATTTTGTAGATTTAAAGAATTTCATTAATACTTGTTTATTTTTTTATTTCTAGTGTTGGTTGATGGAGAATTGTTACCACAGATATTTGTGAAGATGTTACAGAGGGATAAGCCTATTGAGATGCAGCTCACATCAGCAAAATGGTAAAGGTCAAAACAATAACAGTACTTTTATCAATATCTTAGAGAATTTTTGAATGACCTAATTTGCTCACTTCCAGCTGCCATCTTATTTTGGGATCTTGAAATTAGATAGTCATTGGTCTTTCTCACGTTTTCTAAAATGGATATAAGTTTTTATACTTAGTTTATTACTATTAGTATGTAGAATAAGAACTCTTGTATTCAAGAGTAGCTATACAAAATTACTTTGTTATTCTCAACTTACAGTCCTTGTATGCCAGCTGAAATAATACAGAATTATATCAAAATTAACCATATTACAATAAGCATGAAGCCCCCCAAAAAATAGAGAAATATGGAAAGAGAAGTTGAATTATCAGTACATTTGCAGATATGTTGAGCACCTGCTGTGCAGGATTTACCTCAATGAATCATTCATGCATCATGAATTTTATTTTATTTGTATTGTGCTTTGTTTGCTTGCTTTTTGTCTTAACTGCAAAATTAGTGTTTGCCTCTTTGTTAGTAAGGTAATGTTCTCTTGTAAATAGTTTAAAAAAATAATATGGTAACAAACCTCTCAGTAATAATAGCTACAAGGAGTTTGAGCCTTCTACAGTAGAAAAGAATTTTACTCTTTTGTTTATAGCGTTTTTAAAAAATATTTTTTTATTTATACATGGACACAATATCTTTATTTTGTTTGTTTATTTTTACGTAGTGCTGAGGATCGAATCCGGTGCCTCACATGTTCGAGGCAAGTGCTCTGCCACTGAGCCACAACCGCAGTCCTGTCTATAGTTTTGTAAAAGCCAAGTATGGAAAGTTTTCAATCCATACTCCCTCCACCAGCTTACTAAAGGACTGTAACTCAAAAAGGAAATTCATTAATACAAGTTTCTCAAATAATGTTCAGTGTCTGCCTGTGGAATACAAATTAATTTTTTATTTTTATTCAAAGCCATATATAATTATGAAGATAAATTGATTTTCAATAGAACCATTGATGAGTCCCCAAAACCACTGCTGGTTACCTCTAAATAATTCATTTCTGATGGATAGCTGTATTATAATTTAAATACCTCTTCTGTGATATTTCTACTGCTTTTGGAGTTGTAATATCCCAACTTAACTTCATCTAAGCTAAGATACTTTGTTATTCTTATATTTTATTAATATTTTTCAAATGTAAAAAGTATGGAGAAAATAATAAAGAACCCACACATGCCCAGTTTTCTTCAAAATGTGCACTCATTAGGCTGTTTATTTTTAAAACAATTTTGTAGGGTTTTTTCCTAAATATCTGACTGACTGTATGTATCTGTTAGTTTTCTTTGATGATTGAATTGAACCACATAAAAGAATGTCAAAGTGTTCTCTCTCAAAATAAATGATAGTATTTATTTTCTTGTGTGTTTTTTTGTTCAAAGAAATCTTAAAGGCAAATAATTTTTTCTTTTACCATTGTAAATCTCAAGCAAAAACTTACTTTCTGTTATTTTATTCCAGTTTAACTTACATGTGTAGAGCTGGAGCGATTCGGACAGATGACAACTGTATTGTATTAAAAGTAAGCTAGCCAACTCTTTCTAAAAATGTTTGAATATTATGTGATCCTATAAGTGTTAATATGAATGTTGATATTTGTTTCTTTTTACATATTTATCATTGTAGTAGTGTGCATAAGAAAATAATATTAAATGCCATGTTTTCTTTTCTGTGGGAAGCCATGTAGCTTTTAAAAATTGGTTTAAAGAAATTTTGAACATCACAGTGAAGTAATTCTTCCCTTGGCACAACTCCTCCCGCCTATTTTGTGATAATTAAGAGCATATGGAAATTGTAAAAAGTAGGTAAAATTCAGGTGAAACAGGGAATGTATTTTAGTCCTTGGTTTTCATTAAATTTGCAGTATAATTTGCCATTCCTATAGATATAGACTTTCTATCACTCTGGTAGCCAGTAATCAATAGCATAAGAGATCAGTCCTGAAAGTCCTAATTAAGACCTGAATTCTGGTTTTAGCATCTCCACCACTGACTGGTTTGATCTCCCTTATTCTTTTGTTGCTTCGGACTCTCAATTATGAAAATGGAGGTGATAATTCCTGCTCATTTGTCTCAGAGTTATTGTGAGGATAACAATATATTAAATACAGTAACATGTCTTATTTGCTATAAAGAACAAACAGGTATAAACAGAGTGTCATTTTATGAATGTGACATCTTTTATTACCATTATTCAAAAGGTGAACCCAAGGATAAAGGAGCATTAAGAAGATTAATGTTTGCTTTAGTCTTCTGGGAAGAGAGTCAGCTAATTTTTATGTGTGCTGAGGCTTTCTGTACTGTTTTTTTTTTGTTGTTGTTGTTTGTTTTTTTCCTCTTACCCTTATTTTCTTTCTCATTGGTAAAATAGGTTTAGTAGCATTACCTTCATGTAGTAATTGGAAGCATTAAATAGAATGAACTGTGATTTTTTAGTACAGATAAATAGTAATTAGTAATGTTGGGAAAAGAAGAATGGCACCTTCTCAGAAGCCTAGGCTTGAGTTGTAAAGTCAGAAGTAGACAAATATGAAATCAATAGTGAACAATAAAATGCTGAATTCTGTGGTAAAAATATGATAGGATCATAGAAAACAGTAAAGCACAGTAGACGGTAGCTGTTGAGGAAGACTTCATGTCATTATAACATTTCCATTTCTACTTCTACATTATCCATCAAATTGGATGCATACGCCTTAAGAGTAGTAAACACATAGAACATTTCTGTTGAGATTTTAAGGTAGACAAATTACTAAAGACCGGTGCCAAGATTTCTGAAGGACCTCAGAAGTAAAATTGAACTAGTTGATAATACAGTTATTCCAAAAGTTCTTGGGAAAACCTAATGATTGCGATTGTTGCCATTCACTTACATTTTTAGGAGAACTGGTGGAATCTGAGAAAGATAAGATCACTGAATTTTTATAGCCATATTTTGTTTTTACAGTTATGGATCTTAACCAAAGCAAAAATAAAAGCCATTCCAGCCATGTTACTCACTAAGGAAAGAATTACATGCTTTTTGTAAGGCAAAAGTCATTCCTGATTAAACTGCTGCATTTCTTTTAGGTAAAATAAATGCATACATGGGGCAGAACCCTCAGGCATGATATGTAAAGGGTTCTTAAATATCTTGGTAAAGTTGTTTAATAGAGTTTGTCTCGTCACAAAAGCAAATTAGAGTTTCTAATAAGTTGCATTTTAGAATGTAGTGTGCCAGCACAAATGATTAATCTGCACTCAGTTTTGTTTGGTTTTGCATTTTGAAAAATCTTTTATTCTCTGAAAGTCAGTGAAGGAAATACTTGGTCACAAGCATGACTCCCAATGAAAACCATTGAGTTAATCACTATATGCTCTTCATCAAGCTTGCCTTTACCAAAAAGCAAATAATAATGTCCCTACCTTTCAGACGTTGCCTTGTTTGGTCCGAATGTGCAGTAAGGAAAGATTACTGGAGGAGAGAGTTGAAGGAGCTGAAACACTCGCCTATCTGATTGAGCCAGATGTTGAGCTGCAGAGAATCGCTAGCATAACTGATCACCTCATTGCCATGCTTGCTGATTACTTTAAGTATCCCAGTTCAGTGAGTGCTATCACTGATATTAAAAGGGTATGTTCTCTTTTCCTTTTTAGCAGCTCAGGAGTTTTTTTAAGTTTTCTTATTGCTCACAACTTTGAACCAGTTGGTCATTAGAGCTTTGCAAAGCCCTTTTAAAAGAAAATAATCTTTTATATTGGGTAACATAGGTGATATTGCTTTGTATGTTTTTAATCCAATTTGCTTAATGTTTATTGTCAGGAAACTTTTACTAAGCACATAAGGATGATATAAGAAAATTGCATCCCTGGCCCTAACTGAAACCCTTAAATAGTGGGTTTCTAAGCTAGATATTGACATCATACCAACATCATCTAATTCTATTCAAGGTCATGCAGTCATCTCTGTTGGCATATTCTTGTTCTTTAGGTCAAGGGTGATCTTTTTTACAGGTGACTGAGTGTCTGCATTTTATTCTTCCCTCAGTCTTTGATTTTTACCACCCTTTCCCATTCTCTTTTTTCATTTTTCAGTTTTGCACTGTGCTTTCAGCTGCCTACGGAGAGCTAAAGCACTATTGAACCTCTAGTTTGGGACTATCAAGGGCCAAAGTATGCTTTTTCTGAAAATGTAATTTCCTTAAAATTGGAATTAGAATTCCTTTGACCTATTGTCTCTCAGCCTGTTTGACATGCCCATTTTCCTAAGCATGAGAGATTCTACTAGAGGAAGTTTATTATAGGAAGCCATGGTAGAGAGACCATAATTAGTAGCCAGTACGATTTCATGAATGTGACTATGGTCCCAATTTTAACTGTTCTCTTAACTTCCCCCATGCTCTGAGTTCCAAAAAACCCCATTCAGTAGTCAGTAGTTCACTTGGCATTAAGGGTATACCTTTTCTCTGTCTTTGGAAGGGCCTAAGAGCACCTTGGATAATAATTCATTAGTAATTTGCACCACCTTCTGTCTGTCTTAATGTCCTAGGCATTCTCTTCCTCGATAATCATGTTTTCCTAGAAGAGGTGATAGGATACATTGAACTAGTTGCCTCCTCTTGTTTCCCTGTGGCCATTTGTTCACACTGACACGATATCTCATCAGCCCAAGATACATAAGCAAGACCTAATCATAGCCTGATAAATACCTGACAAATACCCTGAGATGCAAAGAGAATGCTCTGCTGGGCTTGAGAGTGAGGAAACATAATTTTAAGAACTTCTAGCATAAACTGTGCAGCTCATTCAACTAATATGTAGAGGATTATCCTTGCTGTCAGAGTTTTTCCATTTCATTTCCATCACAGTAGAACTGAAATGACAATCTTTTAAATGGCCCCCTAGTGCCAAACTTAAATAATAGATTGTTTTATCATTTTGGTGGTAGATTATCCAGAGGTTTCTGGCTATAAAAGTATCCATAGAAAGAAATTCCCACATGATAATAAATGTGTGTGATTTTCATGGCATTTTAGATCCAAGTCAGCATTAGAATATGTAGGCTATGGCTAGAATGTAGTTAGGACTTTAAGGATAGATATTTTACATACTTTGGAACAAAAAATAAGTATTGTATATTGCAGAGCTCCTCCCATAATCTGTCTGTGCCTGATGTTAATCAAAACATTTTTGGAACTACTTTTATTCCTGCCTACAGAACTACCTCAAATGTGTTGTTATTCTTTACTTTGTATTTAGTGTAGTTATCCTAAATTGTATTATCCAGCTGGATTTATCCATCTCCATACACCACAGTGACAGTTAAATTAAAACTCTTAGGTTGATGAAGCTATACCTTTCAGGGTCTTCTAACTAGTTATTTCTTTAGTGAATTTCAAAAGAGGCTCTCCGAATGTTTTGAACAACATCTTCATCATTGGATAAGAATTAACCTTTCTAAGGAAAAGATGAGTAAGTTAGGGCTTTTAGTTTAAATTAGAATATGCCTTGTGTAGTTACTGGTTCAGAGTCATTGGAAGTAGCTGAGAACATGTTTCTATTGTTTTTATGATACTTTGTTGGTAAATCAGTTTTACAAATGAAATGTTAACTTAGGCCATTTTAAGATAGCATTAATTGCTTCATACCAATAAATAATTAATTTTCTTAAAGAAAAATGATATACTCTGAATATGAATCTTAGGTAACTTATGATAGTAGTGATTACCATGGTATGTTGTTTATTAAACATTTTCACAAAGAATTCCCTGTTTGTAAAGCTTTTTGAATATTGAAATTAGGCCAGCACTATTGTTAATGTTTAGGAAAATCTAAAGATATTGATAGAATAGAATTCAATATATCAGTGTCAAATGTTGTATTTTTGTTCTTAGAAGCAGACTGCATTTTAGGTCCCATTGATACGAATTCAGCATGGTCTCATTCACGTGAATAGAACTAGGGAAAAAAAAAAACCTAGGGAATTGAACAACATCACTAATGTTAATAGTCATTAACACACTTGTTTTTTTAATCTTCAAACTCAGTTATTTTTGATAAAAATTTAACTTACGGACTGAGTTAGAATGTATCTTTTCTTACTCTTGTAGCTTGATCATGACTTAAAACATGCTCATGAACTCCGCCAGGCTGCATTCAAGCTCTATGCCTCTCTTGGAGCAAATGATGAAGACATCCGGAAGAAGGTGAGTCTGGGAGAGGGGCGTCCCCCAGTCCTGACAGCCAGCAGGCAGGGAGTGACATCAACCTGAAAGTCGTGGTGAAGAGCACTAACAGTGACTGTTTGAATATAATAAAGCAGAGTGACAAAAGGCAGAATTGAAGAATGAATGGGACCTGGATTTGGGGGTTTGTTTGTTTTTAGAACATAGAGTGGCATGGCCATGATGGAATGACAAATAACTGGCCTGATTTTTTTGTGTGTCATTAATATGGATTATTATGTTGCACATTTTTGCATGTGTTCTGATAAAAATCAATTCTAGCACTGTGAAGCTTCAGACACCTTGAAAGACCTAACACTAGAATTGTAAATGTTATTTATGGAAATTCCTTCCAATGCCATTAAGAAGTTCAAATCTCTATTGTATATTGTTCTTTGATATGTGGCTTAGTTTTATGTTTTGATTTTTTTCTTTTCTTTTCTTTTCTTTTTGCTACTGTGCAAGTTTAATGTGAATAAAATCTTTGTGGAATGATGATTTTATGTTTAGTGAGTGGTCATCTGAATTTTCCAGCTCCCCAAAAGTGTGTCTCTGGTATAGCACCTGTATGTTACTAAAGTCTAGTCTAACACTGAACTTACGTTCTTTATGAGAGTAGTTCTAGATAGGAATAAAGTATAATGGTAAGTTCTGACCTGGCTCCCTCCACAACCAAAAGGCTGGAGCTTCCCACTCAAAATTGTATGTAATTTAATAAGTGCCACACAAGGCTTTTAAAACTATCAGTGAGCAAAATGACATCTGTCTTGAAGATCAGTAGTAGAAGGAGCAAGTGGCATTATTTACTGAACATGACAATTTACTGACTCTCCCCATCTATGTTGGTATTTTAAGGAGAACTGAGGAGAGAAATCACAAAGTATTGGACTGGCATTTACATGATTCAGGAAGTACTGCAGGCCTGTAGAAAGAGAAATATGGAACAACCTTACGTTTGTTGAAATAAACGAAAAGGAAATATTCTTAGAGAAATTGAAGTAATAGCAATAAGATTAGATGTGTGAGTAGCTTTGATTTAAAATCAGCACAAAAAAGCACAAGAAGCTTGTTGTTTTCCATGTAACCTCAGACTAGTTCAGTTAACGAGGTTTTTGATCTCTTTTGAAGTGTTTTTAGTACATACCTATAAAAATAATTTTTGATACCTCTAAGCTTTCACTTGTAAAGTGTTACTTCAAGACACACATACTGGTGATAATGTTATTTCCTGTGTCTAAACGTAATTTATGAATGTTGACACTGATGTATTTCATTCACTATAGGTATGTGGTACATTATAAGGGAAGAGGCTTTTCTGGTAATTCATAGATAAAACTAGAGAAGACATGGACTGTATAATTTAAATACATAATGATTTGTTTGGGGATGGTGATTAGGACCTGTTGAAAACAGAAGTATTTTACCCATTCTAAAACCTCCACAAGACCGTGTCTTGGAATGAAAGGAAGATAAATAGGTAGATAGATAGACAGACCATATGGGGGAAATAGGATGTGCGTTTGTACTTATTTGTACTTTTTTGTTAATAAACTATTGTTTTTGGAATTAATGATTTACTTTGTGATGTCATGTTCTAGAAAAACTTACAACACAACAGTCTAAACAGTAGTCTATTAAAATTTGTATTTATAACATGTATAATTTGCTGGTAAGGCTAACTCCTGATCATTTCTGTAGAAAGATGACAAATAAAGAATAAGTTATAATTATTAATTATAGTTTTTTGTGTGGTAAAGAAGATGCTATGACATTCTTGTGTGATTGGGATCACATAGTGTTTTTAGGAAGATATTTAATTTCTAGGAAATTAAATGTTTGGATGATTTACAGTTCATAATATTTATTTTGAAGAGAGAAATGGAAAATGGAAAATATAAAAGAATTTTGTGACAAAATCTGCTTGAATCCTGGTCATAGGAATGGAAAGTCCTTATTTTCAGTGTGTAAAAAATGATAAATAGCTCATTTCCTTTGGATGCATTTGTTTCTATTCAGCTTTTTGTTGAAATAATTATTTGGGTAGATTTTAATTTACTTTTCCCATGAAATATTTATTTCTCTTTTATGCTTATGCCTTATAAACATTGATTGTATTCCCTTTTTATATGTAGATTCTTATAGTTCAATGTTTATTGTTTTATTTTTCATGTATTTTTAATGAGTGAATAACCTCAAAAGAAATGCCAAGGAATATAGACCTACTCTTTTTGTTCTTACTGCCCCCTCCCAAAAAACAGCAAAAACAAAAACAAAATGAAGTTTTTTGTTTGTATCATCAGAAAAAGATGAAATATTCAGTTGGTCTGCTTTTCAAACTAAAAATGGGAACATAATTCAGTAATTACAATTAACAATATGTGCCCTGCTATATCCAATTAAGGAAAGGAAGCAGAATAAAGAAAACAAGAGCAAAGAAGTAGAGACAATGAGAAGTATCCACTGCAGTAAAGGGAAAGGACACTGGCCTTCTCTCTTCATAGAATTTTGTCTCCATCTTAATGCTTCTAAAGACTTCTGAAAGTGTGCCGTTTTCATTTCTTGATATCTTCTCTTTTGGCCAGATTTAAGCTGAAGACTGAATGTGACTTCCAAGTCAGAGGTTAACCAACCTTTCTTTGGAGCAATGTTGTCATATTCCTATTAAAAGAAATTAATTTTCTGGAACCTAATAAGCATTCAGTAAATATTTGTTACATAAATATAGAAATGACAATGCAGAAATCATATGCAGAGTGACATTTCCTTTAACCTGCCTGGATCTTTCTGTATCCTGTGCAGAACAAAGTTGGGATCCTAATTCCTAAGTTTGCATCTTTTATCACTCTAGTGATTACAAGTGTGTGGTGGCACACACCTCTAATCCAACTATTTGGGAGACTGAGACAGGAGGAGTATTACAAGTTTGAGGCCAACTTGGGCAACTTAATGAGACTTTTATCTCAAAATAAAAAATAAAAAGGACTGGGGATATAGCTCAGTGGTAGAGTGCCCCGGTACTGGGGTGGAGAGTGGGGAGAATTGACCCTGATTCTGAGTGGATTATGGTTAGGGAGAGTCAAGGTATAGGTAGGAATTGAGAGCTCAATGGAAGACAGGACCAGAGCACATTAACTACTGACAGCAATGTCATTAGCTCTAATCTCTGCCAGGGGAAATCTAGTTTCTAATGGTGGCTTTTACCAAAATATCAATGCTATTAAGAATCAGAAGTCCACTTCATGGGGCAATAAAAGCAAGAGAAGTTAAGATACTAAACAAATAGATCAGGAAATTGCTTCATGTACTGGCATCATTAACAAATGGTTAAGTAATAGGCAGCAGTAGCAAACAATCCTATAATTTTTAAGAAATTCTTTTATAAGAAAGTATTGTTTTTATGAAGACCATCACTTATTGGATAATTGATCATCAGAATGGAAATTTTTAAATATCTCTCTTTTAATCTCTTAAAATGAAATAATATTTATCAGAAATGTTAGAAGGTATAAATTGAAGAGAATTAGTGGTAGTATACAGAAAAATTAAAATGCAAGGAAATTAAATTAAGCAGGATGCTGTTTTTATTTTTGAGAAAAATAAACAGATTACAAATGTTAAACTTGTAGCTTTGCTCCTCTAGGTTATCTGACCCATGGAGACTTTCAGAAAGCTTTCCTCCTATATTTGAATACTTATATTTTAGCTGGAGATACCTTTTGAGGATTTAGAGTGTAAGCTCCATGAGGGCAGGGTTTTTTTTTTTTTAATGTTTCGTTCATCATTATGTTCCCAGCAGCTACAATACTGTGCGTAGCTGACAATAAATATTTGAAGAATGAATGAGTGAATGAAAAAAATAATGAATAAATGCAGAATTGTGTTACTCTGTACCCATTATCAAATTATATACAGTCCTTTCTACATTAGTAATGTTGCTAATCTTACTAGCAATTCTTGTGTATGTAAAGAGAGGAAATATAAAATAGTAGAAATACATATGTGGACATAGAGACAAGAGGTTTCACTATACTTACTATAGGGAATACGCAGAAATTCCCACTTTTCAAGTTGCAGGTAATTCCAAGGATATGTATTCTTTCTACTCACTTGGGTATAGGTCAAAGAGCACATTTTATTTCAAAGTAATTTTGACCATTATTTCTTAAATAAAAAATATAGTTTTCTTTTCCTTTTCTAAATATATGATTTAAAGCAATTTATAGAATTCACAAGTGTGACTCTGGTCTAAATTTTCTAGGGATGAAGATATGATTTGGGCCTGGGGTTGTGGCTTAGTGGTAGAGTGCTTGCCTAGCATGTGTGAGGCACTGGGTTCGATTCTTAGCACCACATATAAATAAATAAAGTAAAGATCCATTGACAACTAAAAGAAGAAAAAATTAAAAACAAACAAAAATATAACTTGATTTATAGAAATTAACCTGACTTTTTAGGAATAGACTTACCCTGTAAAGTGGTATTATGTGTGAAATATTATCTTCCCACTTATTGGATGTCTAATTTTTAAAAGGTCATTAATTTAAGTTAGTTCTAAGTAGATTGATTGAATTACCTCCATTGTACAAATTGTCCACTGAGTAAGGGGAACTATCTAGAAAGGAGAGATAAACAACAATTAGACAGCCCTAAAATTCAGTATGTATAATAAAACCTTGGTACTAGAGAAAAACATGAAGTGATCAGTGAGAATTTGCCAAGAGCTTGAAGAATTATTTGGAACCAATTAAAATGTACATCTATGGAGCTATCCTTGAATCCTTTTGGAATTGAACAGGTTTTTTTTTTGTTTTTTTTTTTGGTCAAATTTTTAAATGCTTTTTAGTTTACATTTTTCAAAAATTGAAAATATAAACTCTTTTAAGTTTTGCTCCTTATCCAGAGAAAAGTTATCCATTCACAGTAGTTTTCCATGACATGAAAAAAGTATCTGACAGTGGACAGTGGATGTTTTCTCCTCTTCC